CTCTGCCGCCCCCGCCCCTCGAGCCTGCCCGTCCCGGGGCGACTGCCCGCTGGGGACGCAGATCCTTCACATCTCGCTTCACGAAAGCAGCCACCCAGGTTCTGCGGGAGGCTCGTTCTAAGGGGATTTGTAAGCTTTGCTTTACTTTGGTGAATAACTTTCAGGGGATGTTTAACATCCAACTGCGGTAACTGAAACACGCTAAGCGGCCCCTCTGCGAGTGCGGACACAGCGCGGCTCTGCCTAGGAACCGGCTGGACAGAGTCCTGGGGGCAGGGCAGACCTTTCGGATGTCCCGCTTGGCGACCAGGCCCCAGCCTTTGCCGTCCGTCCGGATGATCTGGGTCTCGGGATACTGCCGCTTGCTGAAGCACTGGTTCTGGCAGAACTCCCCGGCTGGGCACACCTGCGGGTGGCACTCGAACATGAGCATCCTGTTCAGGCACTCCGAGTCGAGGCCGCAGGGGTTGTCGTCCGTGGGCTTACAGTTGCACTTGGGGATCTCGGAAATGTCGGCGGTGTAGATCTGCACTTTCCCGTATGGCTTATTCACCTGCAGGGACAGGAAGGCTGCCTCAGCCTACACACGAGGGTTGCTTCCCGGCGCCTGCACCACATGGCACCCCTGATGGGGCCCCTACGCCCTGCACAGAACTCCTGCACCCAGAGGAGCCCCGACACCACTGCACAGCCCTGCCCCACCCCACCAGCCTCCAGTCTGTAAGCTTCGGAGGCCCAGTGGGGAATGGGCGGGAGGTCCGCAGCCCACACGGGTCACAGCGGCCCTGGCACAGGTGCAGGCAGACAGGCTGACCTGGCTAAAGCCCAGCCCAGCCGCCACCCCCCATGCGCTCTGTCCCAGCATTTGTGTCCCTCGTCTACGAGGCAGCTGACACTTATCCAGCTGGGCGGCCGTGACAGGAAGAGGCAGACAGCTCAGGACCGGGCAGTGCCTGCGGGTCACCTGACCAGCCCCGAGCTCCTCAGGGCCCCACACATCCGTCCCAGCCTCTGTAACGAGCACCCACAGGCACCCCCAAGAGGAGGAGGTGGGCCCAGGGTGGTCTCTGTGCTCGTGGCCTCGAGCAGCCTGACAATGAAGACGCAGAGAAAACTGAAGAAGGGGGTTCCGGGGAGACGGGGCTGACGAGCTGCCGCACTCGGACCAGCCTGGAGACGCGCCTGGGAGCCTGGGCCTAGGGCTCTCTGACCCAGTAACTCTTTCTGGGAACTTTTCCCAGGTAAGGCCCAGCAGGTGACAGCATTGCCTGCACGGCCCAGACCACGGGAGCCAGGCGGGGTCCCTGGCCAGCTGGCCTGGTGACCGGCTCTGTGGGCGCAGAGGCGAGGGCACCATGTCTCAGAACTGGGCCGTGTGACGGTGACTGCCTGCCAGCTCCGGGCTCACTGAGCACACAGTGCCACAGGCACAACTCTGTCCCCGTCCCCTGCTCGCCACACCTCCAAGCGGGCCCTTCATTCTGTCTCAGGCTCTGGCTGGCACTGGCCCAGGCTGACCGCCTCTGGTCCCAGCCTGTCTCTGGGGCTTGGCAACAAGGATGCTGGCCCATCCCTCAGCCCCTCCTACTCCGGGATGTCAGGCTGAGCCTCCGACCGGCCCCGCCACGTCCCCGTGCGCAAGGTCACGCTGGAGGCACAGAATCTGCTCTCTGCCTGGGCCTCCTCCAGAGAGGAGCTCGCTCACGACACCCCTCGCACTGTGCTCCCGCCACCTGCGTGTGCACCAGACACCCCGCGCCAGGCAGCTGTCGACCAATCACCTTGATGTGCTTGTAGGGCGGGGGCTTCCGCTCGCTCTCCTGTGTCTCCCTGGCTTCCCGCTGAAGTTTGATTTCACGAAAACGAGTTTCTGCTTCTTGCAGTGCTAAAAAGTCAGTGAGATACAAGCAAAGGTTTCCATAAACAAGCACACCTACCCGTGAGCTCTGTGCTTTAACGCTTACTCCAAACTCTCGCCTCCTGTAAGTGCACTTCCCAGTTCCCATCCGACTAGAAGGTGTGCAAAACCTAAGGGGGGTGTTTAAATGCTGCAGACGTTTTAAACCCAACAGAGCTCTTGGGGCCCCACTGGCCAGGCCAGGCTTCCGTCAGGGTGGTCGCTACAGCGACAGCTGTGATGGGCGTGCAGGGCCTGCCCGCTGGCAGCAGCACTGGTCGGATCTGCCCAGGCCTCCAGCGCTGGAGTCGGGAGACCACAAAGCCTGGCCTGACGACGTCCCAGCTTAAACTCAGTACAGCTCCCTCACAATTTCAACGTCTCTTTCCATAACAACTTTGGAACATCTTTTGACGCCTGCCGCCCTGATTCAGACCCGAGCACCTGCTGGGTGCGGAGAGCAGAGCGGCCCTGCTCAGGGCAGCCTGCAGCTGTCGCTCGGAGCCGAGGCGGCACCACAGCTGCGAGGAGGCGCTCTCACTGCGCACGCGGCCCTACCTCACGCCTGGAGCGTGCGCAGCCTCCCACAGCCCAGGGGCTGTGCCTTCGCCGGACACCATCGCACACCTGGCTGGGGACTCCGGGTGGGCGTCTGTCTCCCTGCCCACACCTGGCCCAGTGCCTGGGGTCTAGACAACAAGCAAGCTGCCCCCACACCTCGATCCTAACAGCAGCAAGCTGGGAGACACTCCTGCAAACCAGCAGTAACGTGGTTTCCTGAAGGCAGTGTCAATGCGTCAGTGAATTAACCACAAACCCGTTACTCAAGTTACTCAACAGTCCGCCCCACCCTGAGCCTCCACGGCCAGTCGCCAGCCTGTCCTCCCTCGTTACAGTGCAGCCGGGACACTCAGGCTTTCCTCAGAAACCACACTTTCAAGAGCAGAAACCAGGGTTAGCACCACGATCGCCGTTTTCCTCCACCAGGAAATGTCCGTACCGTTTTTGAAGACTCTTCCGATGCCTCTGACCCCCTGGTAGCGGCTGCCCCGGTCCCCTTCCATGTACGGGAACACTCGAGCCTGATGCGTCCAGTAATAATCTTTAGACCCAAAGAAAAACACAGGGAATTCTCCAATCTCGTGCTTCATTTTCTGAATATTTGGGGGAACATTTTTGGGATGGCAAACTTCTGCCGGCCACCATCTATTATAAATATTAAAAACAGGGTTCACAGACTCTTCAGAGAGAGTGACAATCATTTCACACGGCAAGCACTGCAAAGTAAAAAACATAAACAGGAGGCAAGCACAGGGCTCCATCTCACACCTGTAGTTCCCAAGTTTGACCCAAACGATGTCCTGGTGATGCAGTTTCTTCCCGGCCCGGCAGTCATTGCAGAACCAGCTGCCATCCGGCATCTCGATGTTCAGACAGTCGGGGTGGAAGGCTGCCGGGCAGGACTCGCAGCACAGCAGGCTCCCTCCTGCAAGGGAGGGGGCACTCAGCCTCACCGACACGAGGGGCCTGTGGACTCGGCAGGCCCGGACCTGCCACTTCCGT